CTTATGATGGAAAGACTTCATGGTTTTCCTATGAGGATGCCATAGACGATTGGTGTGATATCACCGAGCTGGAGGATGAGAAGAGAGGACCAGCATTGAGAAACAGATTAGAAGGAGAAGCAGCTGTATACAAGCGTGTTTTAGACAGAGATGCATTGAAGGCAAATGATCCACCAGGAGCCGGCGTAGAATATTTCAAACGAGTACTACGACCGTATTTCGTGAAAGGATCAACCAATGTATTCCTGTATAGGTTCATGCAATTCGTGCGCTTCAATCGAGGATCAGCTGACATGATGAAATGGATGACAAGATTCCAGATTTTACTCCAAAGGCTTATGAGCAGTTGGATGGACATGTTAGAACCAGTCACTCAAGCACATCCACAAGTCCTAGCTCAGATGCAGGCAGATGCAGCATTGACTGGAGTAGCACCAACGGCAGAAAGGATTCAGGAAATCATGCAGACCATCAATGGCAATATGAGGACTTTTCATCAGAACGAATTTCCTCTAGGAGAAAATCTGATTGCCTTACTCATGCTGTCACTTGCAGATTTGTCTCAGGACCAGCGAAACACTTTGACTTCATTGATGACTCATCGTGGCAGGGTCCTGCAGCAATACACTACAACAGAGTTGAGGACAGTATTCATCGAGATGTTCTGCACAACAAAGACTTCAGTAGACAATCCTTTGATGCAGCCAACAGGTGCTGGAGGTAGAAGATCATTTCTCGTACTAGACGAAGGAGAACTCGATGGTACATTTGGCTATTGGGCCGAAGATGAAGAAGATGGAACAGAAGGATTTTTAGCTGCCCTGGACGATGTCTTTTGGGTATATGATGATCAAAACTTCTCATGGTTCCAAAGGAGATTCCAAGGAAGAAGAGCCAGAAAAGGCAAAGGAAAAGGAAGAAGAAAAGGAAAAGGTAAAGGAAGATCAGGCCGCAGATTCTTCAGACCTCGTGGAAAAGGAAAAGGAAAGAGACGAGGTAAAGGCCATTTTGCTGATGAGCAACAGACAACATATCCAGAAGAGTACTTTGAAGAGAATCCTTATGAGGACACTTGGGAGTCAAACCAAGGAGCATATGATGCTATTCTTGCCGAAGATATGAATGACTATCTTCAAGGAGAATATGATGATGCCAATGACTTTTGGCAACAGCTTGAAGAAGCATGGTTTTCCCACAAGGGGAAAGGAAAAGGCAAGAGAAAAGGCAAGAAAGGAAAAGGAAAAGATAAAGGAGATGGCAAACAAGATGCAAACTATGCAAATCAACAACAGCCACGTTCTTTACCTGCACCTTCAAGATCTTCACAAGCATCAGGAGGTCAACAAGGTTTCTTTGCACATTGTGTGACAGCAGCAGCTGAAGTCCATGACAGTGAGGTGGACTTGCTGTCAGGCATGATGACCTCATGTCAAGATGAAGCTGACTGCGCGGTCAACAATGGTGAGACTATCTTCAATGGCATGGGTGCCCCTGTGAGGTACTCTTTGTCAAGGGAGATGCTCACAAAGACTCCTGATGGCTTTGCGCTTATGAACGCTGAGGAAGAAGTGAAGGAGATGCAGGCCATTTCATTTTTGACTGAGAATCGCTTCCCGCCGACTATTGCAATCCTGGACATTGGATGCACTAGAGCTATGGGATCAAGGCGAGCAGTCGACCATTTTTGCAACTATGTCGACAATCTCCCAGATTGTGGATTATGGTACTCTTTTGAGTCTACCAAGAGCAAGTTTTACTTTGCCAATTCCCAGAAGGCTACTTGCTCTCAGAAACTGGTGATTTACATGTATGATTGTGCATGGACGATCCACCATACAGAGTTCGACATAGTGGAAGAAGGAGAAGTCCCTTTGCTTATGAGCTTACCACAGATGAGGAACTTAGGCTTTGAACTCAGGCTGACACCTCAACATGCTTATCTGACATCGGTGCTTCTTGGTATCAAATATTTGGAGTTGAAGGTTGCAGCCAGTACTCATCTTGTCTTGGACTTCCAAGATATTGCATGGTATCTGTCTGACGTGAACTTGCAGACTCGGCGCGAGAAGAGTTTTTACTCTCACTTCACTCACTATGAATATGGTCATATTTCTGTTGATCACAATAGTGATGAAGATGTAGCTGAACATGCATATCCTGTGGTTGACTACTGGGAAGTAGATGTTCACAAGAGAGAACTGATACGTCACCACAAGGATTATAGAAAGATTCTTTTTCCAGCAACTAAGTCCTGTCCTGTAGACACTGACTTACTGGAAGACTTGCGACTGACAATCATCAAGAAGAAGAAAGGAGGAGAAGAAATCAAGAAGCAAGATGATTGGCGCAAGGCAAAATGGAAGGACCTACAAATTGGCTATGAATGGCGTGGTAGAACAATTTTTAAGTTCAAACCAGATGCCAAAATTCCAGATCTAAAGATCAGGAAGGCTGGCATTGAGCACCGTGGCATTGGTGATCCCGATGCAGTGGTGCGCTCCTCCTCAGAGAAGGTTCCCACTGCAAAGGACAGGGAACCAGGCTTCTCGTCAGAGAAGGAAGGTGCACCATCAAGTGCCGCGGAAAAGCCCGCGCCGCCAAAGTTTCGGTATACTTCCAAGGGTTTTGATCCATTTTGGAAGGGACACAAGTCGAAACCATCTGAGCCTCAGAATGATTTAAAGGGTGATGATCTTGAGGAGTATGCTCCCTCAGAACCACCTGAGAGGCCAGAAGGGGAACTTGTAGAAATTCCTAAAGCATCAAAAGGACCATCAAGTGATAAACATGAACCACTTGAACCAGGTGATGGCGCTCTTGAGCCTAGGCGGATTTCAATCCCATTACCTGGTAGTGAAGTTGTTGCAATGACACCGGCATATAGGAAGATGTTACAGAGACTGGAGGACAAGGTAGAGCTTTATAAGCTTCATGTGAAGCACTACCATATGAGTCCTACTCAGTTTCGTAGACGTGTTTCTATGTTGAAGCTTCCTGACTCTGTTTTAGAGAAGTATGAATCAGTTGTCAGGAACTGCCGTGTTTGTAACACTTCAGTGGCACCTCCGCCACGAGCCAGAGTCTCCGGTATTAGAGCTTCATGTTTTGGT